GCAGTGTATAGAATTATATATATATATATATATATATATATATATATATATATATATATATATATATATATATATATATATGGCAGAGTATATGTATATACGAGTCGCTTGAAGTGTACCGTCCAGTTGCCATCCCCAGTGAAAATTGCCATAATGGTTTCCCATTGCCGAGAACAGAAAGCCTGTTAGGCTAATTGATTTCCTTCTAGGCCAATTACTGACTTTCCCAGGATGCAAATCACAACAATTGTCTAACTCCCGGGTTCCTATTTTACTGTTAGGTGAACAGAGGCAGTAGGTGAATGGAGAGGTCCCAAGCGGGTCTTAATTGTTCTGCTGTGGGAGTCGAACCCGGGGCCTGTGTCGGTTGTGAGACACAATGCGGCCGCGATGTTTCTTGTCTTCAGTATTTCTGGGGAGTTCCACGTCCAGTCTGAGGTTCTGTCAACAGTGGTAAAGCTGATGCCAAACTCTAGTTCTGTCAACAGACTCTCGATAAAGGCACAGGCGATCTTAATGTCGTTTAATATTTTGTGTGTTGTGTGGCTTCGTCTTGGGAAAGATATCTTGGACAGTTCTTCGTCTTAAGGGTTTAATTATCGTCCAGAGACACAGTTTCGTCGCGAGAAAAGTACAAGTTCCTGGGGGAGGGAGGAGAGGGGAGACAGCTTCGTCGTGTGGGAGACAGATTGGTCTAGGATTGTTGACTCGCTGTACATTTAAGTGTCCTGAGTTACAATCACTTGTGGAAACAGAAATTCTCCCTGGTGACCCTCAGAGAGAACTAGAAACTAGCCAATGACATATCATCATTGTATACATATATGCCACTATAACTGTAGACTTCTGCTCCAGCTGAATACTTGTCAGAATTAATGATTTGCACCTTAAATGTATATTTTGGTTCTGCCATGTGTGTGTGTGTGTGTGTGTGTGTGTGTGTGTGTGTGTGTGTGTGTGTGTGTGTGTGTGTGTGTGTGTACCTCTACATTTAAGCAGTGTGGAGCTAAGTGAAGAATGATAACTATGTGTGAAGCTTGCAATGATGGTATAGACCTCTGCGTCTCTGAAATGGATCATGATTACCAGGATACCTTCCTGGTGTAGCTAAGGTAAGGGTGAGGATGCACGAGGGTCACAGAGAGACAGAACACGGCTTAAAACACACCTGCTCATGAATGTAAACACACAGTCGTGACCTAGCAAAAACACCCAAAATTGAATGTGTTCCAATGATCTTCAAATTATATATATATATATATATATATATATATATATATATATATATATATATATATATATATATATATATGTAACTGTTGGTCATATGAAGTACATGCTTGGGTCTAGCAGTCAACACAGTGAGCGATACATTACGCCACAAACTTCATGCCGGAGTTTACTTGCAATATGCCAACATTCAGTAATCACTTTTCCATTAAGTAACGGACACATAAACTTGACAGGTCTCTTTCGGTCGAGTTGAAGTAAGGACGAACATAGAAATGAAGTGGCAGTTGATTATTAGATGCAGTTGTTTGATAATGAAGTGTTTTATTTTGGTTTTGCCAAAAGTCCTTATTGTATGACTCGGATGTTTACAGATGGTTGTAAGATCCTGTGACATGTTGAACTGCAGACCACTCTCAAGTCTTTCAATAACACACACACTAGACGCAGCTCTTAGCTCATCCAGTAACGCAGAGGAACAGGACACAGCTCCCAGAACTTCCAGCAACACCCAGGAACAGGACACAGTTCCCAGAACTTCCAGCAACACCCAGGAACAGGACACAGCTCCCAGACTTGCCAGTAACACCCAGGAACAGGACACAGCTCCCAGAACTTCCAGCAACACCCAGGAACAGGACACAGCTCCCAGAACTTCCAGCAACACCCAGGAACAGGACACAGCTCCCAGAACTTCCAGCAACACCCAGGAACAGGACACAGCTCCCAGACTTGCCAGTAACACCCAGGAACAGGACACAGCTCCCAGAACTTCCAGCAACACCCAGGAACAGGACACAGCTCCCAGAGCTTCCAGCAACAGCCAGGAACAGGACACAGCTCCCAGAGCTTCCAGCAACACCCAGGAACAGGACACAGCTCCCAGAGCTTCCAGCAACACCCAGGAACAGGACACAGCTCCCAGAGCTTCCAGCAACACCCAGGAACAGGACACAGCTCCCAGAGCTTCCAGCAACACCCAGGAACAGGACACAGCTCCCAGAGCTTCCAGCAACACCCAGGAACAGGACACAGCTCCCAGAGCTCCAGTGAACTGCAATAAGATACATGGAATAATTCCATCAAAGATTTAACTCAAGCTGTTACATTACTCCATAAACATCAGATTTTGATTGTAAATTTTTAGTGGTCAGAGAGCTTGAAAAGAAATCCAATTACCACGATCAAAACACGACTGAAGAATTTTTGTTTGGACAGGAACGCGTGCCTAAAAATCATTAATGATTTGCGGTCCAATGTAAATAAAATGTTAATTTAATTGAGTACCTCCTCCGTCTACATTTTTATATACATATATATACACAATTTTATTCAGTAGTGATGTTTTATATATGCTTATCAAATGACGGTTATCAATATTAATGGAAATGTCTGTTCGTCGCTGGAGGCCAGACGCTTGGAGCTAGCCTCACCCAACTTTGAACCGTGATGCCTGTGGGGTACGCGCCTATCATATTGCCATTTAACATGGTGCCATCAGCAACCCCAACGACAATTCTTGGATTATCATATCGATTGGATCCAGGATTTGTTTTATTTAGTATAATATAAAACATTCATTAATGTCTGCAAATTAAAACAAAAAATCATTCATACTTTGAAATGCCATGTGATATATATTCATAATATCGTACTTCCCCCCCCCCCCCCCTCCTTCACCAACACCCGCTGCTTCTCAGGTGTCAGTCTTCCACACCATAGTGTGTCAGGGTATACATGCGTTCGTATACACTGTGTATACGTTTGTATGTATCCCCCATGCTGGGTCACAACCCCCCTACCCCCTTTATCTCTCACGAGTGCTGCTCCACTACCCCCGGTCTGCGTCCAGGAGGGGAGACAGTTGGCATTAAAAGTTTGCTTATTCCTAAGTGATACATATAATAATCTCATCAAATACATGAGTCTGTAGGGAAGGCCTGGTGAGTGAGCTGATGCAAGATAACAGCTCTTGTTTGCAGTTGCACTGTGGAAATCAATGTCATTCCTAATGAAATTGAGATTAATCTTAACAAAATAAAAGAGAAACAAGTAGAAACAAAGTGGAGAGAGAGAGAGAGAGAGAGAGAGAGAGAGAGAGAGAGAGAGAGAGAGAGAGAGAGAGAGAAAAAAAAAAGAGCTCTGGGGTGTCCAGGCCTCGGGCCGCCTATGTGTTGCCCATACCACCTTTCCATATATATATAATATATATATATATATATATATATATATATATATATATATATATATATATATATATATATATATATATATATATATATATTACACTAACTGGGGAAACGGGCTTTGTCCGGGTCTCTCTCCCCTCTCTCTTAATCTCTTCCGCTATCCCACCCTATCCACCTTAATTTCACCCTCCTTTCCGTCCCTCTCCATCCCTCTTTCCCCCTCTCCCTCCCTCCTCTCCTTCCCTCTTTCCCTCTTTCCCCTCTTCTCTAGGAAAATATAATATTGTGAAGCATTGCAAAAAACTGCTAAAAACTCTACCAAAAATAAGTCTCTGATTTCAGACCATGAGAATGGCAGGCGATCACCATAGATGCTGATATTTCTTTAAAAGGCGGCACTTGGGCAGACCCGAACTGACCTATGATACATACACCCCGTGTGTCATCTTCGATGAGGCTGACCTTAGGCATCTGGTCGCCTACTTTGAATAGGCATTCCATTTTATCGATATACATATATAGAGATCGGATACCCAACAGTGCATAGATTAGCCCGGGCACCCTATGTGTTTCTTTTGTCTTTCTAACTGTGTATGCCAGTCTCTCTCTCTCTCTCTCTCTCTCTCTCTCTCTCTCTCTCTCTCTCTCTCTCTCTCTCTCTCTCTCTCTCTCTCTCTCTCTCTCTCTCTCTCTCTCTCTCTCTCTCTCTCTCTCTCTCTCTCTCTCTCTCTTGTCTCTCTCTCTCTCTCTCTCTCTCTCTCTCTCTCTCTCTCTCTCTCTCTCTCTCTCTCTCTCTCTCTCTCTCTCTCTTATAAACAACAAAATTTGTTGAGAAAAACCACATGACATCATCAAAAATTCTTCAGACTTTTGAAGGGGAAGCTTGATGAGTAGAATTGTATTATTTTTTTTTTATGTGGTGATCATTGCATGTTTTATGATACAGTAAGGAAAATGTATAATTTAAGAGTCGAGCCTGAATGTAAGAGCGACTCATGTTGGGGGTTCGTTGTGGCAGTGTGCCACGTGGTACTCATTTCAATGGTGCTGATCCGCCCATGTTGGGTGGATCAGCATAATAATAATAATAAGCATAATAATAATAATAATAATAATAATAATAAGGCCCCGTGGTCGACCCTCCTCCCCTCCATCCTCATCTCCTTGCTCCCCCTTTCTCAATATATCTGTCCTTCCCTCCTTCCCTCCTCCTCTCCCTCCATATGTGGTGAGGAAGGTGACCCTCTCACCCAACATGAGGTCGTGATTCTAACACGACCCGCCACACGTCAGTTTTGTCCCCCCACAGCGATCATTGACTCGAAAATTGCCTCAATTATTGTGATTTGCCTCGTCAAAGGCTACAATGTCTCACTGTTCACAAATGTTAAGGTGTTCACCTCTCTACTCGCTACATTAAGTGTTCACAAGGGTTCACATTAGTGTTACCTGTTCAATATGTTACTTTTCTCAGAATTTACCGCATCAGGTTGAACGTAATGAAGATCATACAAGCTTCAAGCTTGTATGATCATAAACTAATGTACTCTCATGCTATCAAAAGTTTTCTCTCTTATACAGACGTGTGGGTGACCAGCATGAGGGCGTGGCCTGGGCGACCCCTGCTGCTCCTGTCCACCCACCTGCTCCTGCTGCTCCTGCCCAGCCGGGTCTTCACCTCCCCAGCCGTCCTCCACCCACTACTGTGGGATGGTGAGTGTTACCGTGACGACCTGTTGTGTGTAGTGACGACCTGTTGTGTGTAGTGACGACCTGTTGTGTGTAGTGACGACTGTTGTGTGTAGTGACGACTGTTGTGTGTAGTGACGACTGTTGTCTCTCCCACGAGTTGTGCTCGTCTGATGATTGATTGATTGTTGCCGCCGGAGGCGGCTAGTTTATTGTGCACCCCATACTCATCCTGTGAGCGGTAGCGCAAAAAGCATTAAAGAGGGCACAAAAGGTCTTTATCAGACCTCATCCTAGATTATTACATAAACAATTTCATCTATCCTTCACACCTTATAGTTACAATGTCAGCTAGTTACAGAGAAAGTGTTATTACAAGAGCTACATATTTACAGTAAGTCATCATACATTAATGGTAGGTCTTATCGCTAATACATAATAGTTTGACCAATGGGGATATTACAGTCATAGGGTAGCTTCTGTTTATTATTAGTCCTCACAATACACTACTTGTTTCTGAATCTCATATGTCGTTCATCTACTGGAAGCAAAATGTGGGTACAGTGCAAGGATTTCAGGTAATTTATCCATGGTAATAAGATAGGTTGCCATATCATACAGCGTGAGCTTAGATTTATCTCTAAATGGCTCAATTTTACTACAATTCAGGATATAGTGTTCGAGTGTGTGTCCCTGTCTTTGTCCACACACTTTACACTTTACTTCATCTAGATCCCTATACAAGCCGAACTGCCAGAGATACTTGTAGCCAAGTCTTATACGAGCTGTGACAACATCTGTTAGTCTACTGACTTTGTTACTTGCCCCATACACATGTTTTACTTCACACATTTCATTGTGATGAACAATGGACCTACTAGTTCCAGTTTGCACAGTTCTACTTCAAATCCATCCAGGAGTTCTCGTCTAATGACACTTTTAAGGGACCTATTTGATAACTCAAGATTCCGTTCAATACTGTCTTTATTTACTGCAACCTTAGCAAGGGCGTCAACTTTGTCATGTTCCTGCATGCCAATGTGAGAAGGAATCCACAACATTTTTATATTTACCCTCTTGATGGCAGCACAATTCAAAGGAATATCCGAATTAGTAACTGGGCGTCCACAATGCAAGCCGAGTTGGTAGCAATACTGGTAGCACTCGAAGTTATTGAAAAAACTGAAGTTGACACCTTAATTATTTCTGACTTCCTTTCCTCACTACGAGCAATAAACAGTTTGCAATCAAGTAATAACGTGCTTGTCTTGGAAGCTAGACGCAGATATATAAGAATACTCGTCTGATGGTGTCTGATGGTCCACTGATGGTCTCTGGTGGTCCTCTGATGGTCTTTGGTGGTCCTCTGATGGTCTCTGGTGGTCCTCTGATGGTCTCTGGTAGTTCTCTGATGGTCTCTGGTGGTGTTTGATGGTCTGTAATTGACTGTGATATGGTCCTCATTGGTCCTTGATGTCCTTTTGTTGGGCTGTAAGAGTCTGTGTGTGATATATGACCTCTGTTTAATGATGGTAGTGGTTGTGTTGTCTCTAGACCTTGTCACACCACACCCCGTCACGCTGCTCCCCGTCACGCTGCTCTTCCGTCACGCTGCTCCCCGTCACGCTGCTCCCCGTCACGCTGCACCCCGTCACGCTGCACCCCGTCACGCTGCACCCCGTCACGCTGCTCCCCGTCACGCCGCACCCCGTCACACCACACCCCGTCACGCAGCACCCCGTCACGCCGCACCCCGTCACGCTGCTCCCGTCACGCTGCACCCCGTCACGCCGCACACCGTCACACCACACCCCGTCACGCCTCACCCCGTCACGCCTCACCCCGTCACCGTCTGGATAAATCATACACCTTTTTCATGACCGTCGCGGATGTCATTATGTAGATCATATTCTTGTTTATATGTACGACTGACAGACCCCACTAACCAAGCCACCGTCACTCTCACTAACCAAGCCACCGTCACTCTCACTAACCAAGCCACCGTCACTCTCACTAACAAAGCCACCGTCACTCTCGCTAACCAAGCCACCGTCTCTCTCGCTAACCAAGCCACCGTCACTCTCGCTAACCAAGCCACCGTCTCTCTCGCTAACCAAGCCACCGTCTCTCTCGCTAACCAAGCCACCGTCTCTCTCGCTAACCAAGCCACCGTCACTCTCACTAACAAAGCCACCGTCACTCTCGCTAACCAAGCCACCGTCACTGCCACTAACCAAGCCACCGTCACTCTCACTAACCAACCCACCGTCACTCTCACTAACAAAGCCACCGTCACTCTCGCTAACCAAGCCACCGTCACTGCCACTAACCAAGCCACCGTCACTCACTAACCAAGCCACCGTCACTGCCACTAACCAAGCCACCGTCACTCTCACTAACCAAGCCACCGTCACTCTCACTAACCAAGCCACCGTCACTGCCACTAACCAAGCCACCGTCACTCTCGCTAACCAAGCCACCGTCACTGCCACTAACCAAGCCACCGTCACTCTCACTAACCAAGCCACCGTCACTGCCACTAACCAAGCCACCGTCACTCTCACTAACCAAGCCACCGTCACTAACCAAGCCAGCTAACAGAGCTCACCTGGCAGGGTAAGGGTGTCCAGGCCTGCTGTAGGCAGACTCGGTGATTAAGTTTACATACGATGTAATTGCCTGTTGAGGGGTTGTGACCCCCATCATCCGGGGCTCGGAGCGTCAATCACCGCTGTCAGTCTTGCTTATTCTCCTATGGCGTGTAGTACGGGCGGGGGGGGGGGGTTAGTCTGGTGATAGTTGTGTTGGGAGTAGTAGTATTAGGAGTCTGGTGGGTACTTAACTATTGTAACTAGCCTATCAGTGACTACTGGGGAGGGAGGTTTAGCTCTGTATGCCTTGACTACTACTATCCACGAAGTACCTGTTGTGTTACAATTCAACTCTTCTGACGTTCCAATTCTTTGTCGAATCTGACCCTAAAGTTGTGCATGGAGGCGGCTCCCACAACTTCTGCTTTGTGCATTTCACTTGTTGACCACCCGTACAGAGTACTTTTTTTTTTTTTTGAGATATATACAAGAGTTGTTACATTCTTGTAGAGCCACTAGTTCGCGTAGCGTTTCGGGCAGGTCCCTGGAATACGATCCCCGCCGCGAAGAATCGTTGTTACAACCAAGTACACATTTTACTGTTGAGTTAAACAGGGGCTACAGTTAAGGAATTGCGCCCAGTAAATCCTCCCCGGCCAGGATACGAACCCATGACAAAGCGCTCGTGGAACGCCAGGCGAGTGTCTTACCACTACACCACGGAGACTGCATAACTTACTTATGTTAATAGTGTTCTTATTCTGTTTGTAAACGTTGTTCTAATGACGGCCAGCCTCCCAACCTCTGGCGATGCTATCTTGTTTCTTTCTCTGGTGTTTGTGTTCGAATTACACGCACTCAAGTGTTTCTCTGATTCCTGTTGTTGTCTTGCTTCCCCTTGAGGTGTAGCTTCCTTGTGGTCTTGTTTTGGAGGGGATTGAATTCTAGCAACCATTTGTTTTCCCCGCTCCTGGAGTTTGTCAAGGTCTTCCTGTAATTATTTGCAGTATGGCGGTTTTTTAACTCTTTAATAGTTTTGCGCCATGTGCAAACACTTTTATGTACAAGCTCACTCCCCAGTCATCAGTCTCGATGGGCTCGGTGGGTTGCTTGGGTTTCTACAAAGCAGTTTAGAGAACTTTTTCAGAGAACGAAATGCGCGCCTCACAGAAAAGTCGTCGCATTAACTCTGTTTCTCAAGTGTACCACACGGGAGCCGGTCGGCCGAGCGGACAGCACACTGGACTTGTGATCCTGTGGTCCTGGGTTCGATCCCAGGCGCCGGCGAGAAAAACAATGGGCAGAGTTTCTTTCACCCTATGCCCCTGTCACCTAGCAGTAAAATAGATACCTGGGTGTTAGTCAGCTGTCACGGGCTGCTTCCTGGGGGGTGGAGGCCTGGTCGAGGACCGGGCCGCGGGGACACTAAAGCCCCGAAATCATCTCAAGATATACCCGGAGCAGGCGCCCCCGCACACGCGTCCCGCCCGACACACTGGCTTGCCACATAGCCATCCAGGTTATTTATTAAATTCCAGTGTTCTTACTCGGTATTTGGTGGTTAAACGATGCTTTTACCGGAGCGCGGAGCCGGGGACGTGACCCCGTCGCTCTCTTCACAAGGCTGCGTGTAGCCTTAGATGTCTCTGACGGTGGTGGACCATGTTCATAGTATCAGCGAGGTGCTGCCCCCTCCCCAGCGTCACGGGTCACCCAAAGACTCACGGGTCACCCAAAGACTCACGGGTCACCCAAAGACTCACGGGTCAGCGTCACGGGTCACCCAAAGACTCACGGGTCAGCGTCACGGGTCACCCAAAGACTCAAGGGTCAGCGTCACGGGTCACCCAAAGACTCACGGGTCAGCGTCACGGGTCAGCGTCACATGGGGCTTTGGCGGTTTTGTTTACAATTATTAAACCAACCCGTCCTCTAAACAAAGACCCAAAAGTGATTCCATGAACCCGCCAAACCCCAGCTGTTTATGAATGAAAACCGGTTTACACACGACTCACAACTGATGACGTTCGAACACTTCCGGAACAAGTGCTTCGCTGACGAATTTTGTTCGAACCACAACGTTGTAAATGCTTCACCCGCGTACTACAAATACAAATAATCGCCAACAGAACCTAAACACCTAACCTAACCTATGCCTATATATGCACAATATGCTAATATATTAAAATATTATTTTATATTTGAGAAAATTCCCGTTTTGAATGAACAACACGTAAAAATTTATGAATGCGTCTGTGGGGTCGACCGCTGGATGGAATGGACTTGAGTCGAGGACGAGTTGTACCGAGTCACCTCGGACACTTGTAATGAAGGCGATGGTGGAAGAGGTATCGGAGAAGCTATTCTCAGAGGTTGGGACAACCCCCCACCGCCCCATTTCTCCCTGAGGGCTGGTCGGTGCTGCAGGCACAG